CTCCTTCTCGTGGACACGATATCTTAGTAACGCCTTGAGGGAACTTCTTCAAATTTGGCACAAACATTCGTCAAAGGCTAACAAAACATGTTTTTGGCCATAACTCACAAATTCATGCACTAATTATGACTGAATTTAACTCAGATGTCTTTAAGGATACAATTAGGTGATAACATTTTACATCCAAATTACCAAAGGTCAACTTCACTGTGACATCATAAAGTTCTGCAAAAACATGCTGTAACTCAGAAAGGGGAGATTGTGACCAATGAAATACCTAATCATAGTTTTCTTGTAGGCAACTTACGTGATTTCACAAGTAGATTTCCTGAAATGTTTGACCGTTCCTTTCTGAAAAATGTGAGAACATTGCTTTTTTGATGTAGGTAGACATTCATCTGTATGATATGCATCAATGTAATGCAGGTTATATTAAGACAGGGTTATTATGTTGAAAAAGCAAATCCCCCCCCCCCAAAAAAAAAAAAAAAAAAAAAATCATCTGTGACTATCATCTGAGAATCTCTAAACAACAGTAATGAGTTCAGGTCTGAGCAGCAGCAGCGGTCCAGTCGTTGTATGAGGCAATGTTCTCCCACAGAGTTCTGAGCAGGCAGAGTTACTGTTCCCCTGCAGTGCTGGAGTTGGTTTCACAGTTAAAAACACTGTGTTATTTGTCTCTGTGTGACTTCTTTCTTATTACAAGCCCCCCCCTCCTTCCAAACATAGAGTAGCTCTCTGATCCCTGCTGGGAGTCTTATTTTTCTGCTGAGGTGAGATATGTTCAACTTTTGTGGGACCACTCACTGTCAGCTTCTCTGTTTAAGACATTGTTTTATTTTAATGTTTGATAACTTTGGAGGCTGTAATTTTTGAAGCTGTTGAACTGTACTGGGTTATAGTGACAGGCGTTCCTAATATTATGTTATGTATATCCTATTTATATGAATTAAGGCTGACAAAATATTAGGCACACCTCTCAGTATAACCCAGTACAGGTCAACAGCTTCATAAATTACTGCCTCCAAAACGACCATTAAAATAAATCAACATCCTCTGAAACAGATTCAATAAAAACTGAACATTATGATCCTCATTCAGGAGGATTTACTGCAGGCCTGTTATATTACACTGTGTTAGTTTTATCTAGGTGTACCTAATAAAGTGGAATGTGAGTAGATTACTTTAATCACTATGTGTCACAGCAGCCCTTTCCCTGAACTGGAGAATCAATGATTTTACTGAAGAACTTCAACCTTAAAATGTGTCTGACATTGGCTTCATTTCATCTGTGGAGTCATAGGCATTAAAGAAAATCACTGGTAAATGTATTTTTGCATCAGCAAGGAAAATATTAGGAACTAGAGTGAGTTTAGGCTCATACATGACCAGTAAAGAAAACAGACAATACACAGTGGCTGAATAACAGTGTTAGATGATGCATGGGGTAACGTTACGTTACCATGACAGCAGTGTGGCATACATTACCTGTTCCACCTGTTGTATATCTCTGTATCAGCTTGGGCTTGGTTTTGCTTCAGCTCTGTGCAGAGCTGCTGTGAGAAGCCATTTCCAGTTTCTGTCTAAAACAGACTTGAGATGATCCTGTGCAGGTTTTATAGCTGCAGGTTGTAGCTTTAACCGGGCGCCATCTTTGTGATGCGCTGTTGTCGTAATCAATGACGTTACGCTACGTGGTTGTGTCGCCCCAGCCCTAACCAACTGTTGTTTAATGTTTTTGTTTTTATGTTTCCTGAGAACTGCTCATCCAAAAAACTTTACAGTCGACACTGCACTTCCTTGGGTCTTCAGCAAAACACCCGCCAAGTTTGAAGTCGATGGAATGAGCAGTTATATATTTATAGTTGGTTTCTGTAATAGTTGATATAGTAATTAATAAAGTTGATCAACAATGTTTGCAAAAAAAGAAATGAATAGCAAATAGAGACTGCTATGTCTCAGAAGCAAAGGTGATATACAAAGTGTCTGATTTTGACATTTGACACTGTGGTGTCTGTCTCCCGCCAATATTTAAGATTTTCTAGGCCATTCAGCTGCTTACTCAGCAGATGTCTTTTGCTCTTACTCTCATCTTCTTGGACTGGACAGCATACTTGCTCTTGGACTCCTCTAAATCCAACCTCCCAGACCATTGGATCACTTCCTGTTTCCGGAGTACTGATGGTCTGGTTTCAATTCTGAGTGAAAAAATCTGAAAGTCAGCAGAGCCAGTTGCTAGAGGAGGGCACTGCTCCGATACTCTCCCTCCGTTGGAATGAATGACTCCTCATCTCTGGTAATCTGACAGTGCCTGAAGTTGTGCACACGGTGTCACCTCTGGGACCAAGAGTCATGTGACTCTTCTTAGTCAATACTTTTCTGCTTGAATTGTCACCTGGTCCCCCCACAGACCTTGGTGGTCAGCTGACATGTGCTGGCTGCTGCCTCACAGGACAGCTCAGACTTAGAATTATCTAACATGTTGATCCCTTGCCCCTCAGTTCTCTAACCTAAACCCTCTACAGAGTAGTTTTAGTTGCTTAAACTTAATGAAACATTATCCACATTGGCTTCAGACCAGAAAATACTTGTATGTCTTGATTTGGAAGGCAGTGACAACCTGTTTTGCCATTATGGTTGGATGTTTCATTAATTATAGCCAAGTAAAGTTTGATGTAAAAGATTAACAGAGGCAAACGTTCCTCAGGAGTATGGTTGCATCAATTTTTGCATAGCTAGTGAATGAACTAATGCTTAACAGATAATTTGTTCCTCAAGGATAATTTATTTCCTTTAGCAACTTAGATTTGGTTGGCAGTGGTGTTGGGCCTACAGCCCCAGGAATAATTTTATTGAGTTTTCACAATACAGAATAACAAAGCTCTCATGCAGACCACGCTCACATCATACTACAGAACTCTATTCCCTTGTTTAAGCAGAATCTCGGTCTTTTCCTAACCTTGACCAAGTGGTTTACTTGCCAAAACCTTAACATAACTTACACCACACTTTCCCTAAACTTAACCCTTAATGCTGTAGTTGGCATGTGCAGAAAATGAAGACAAAAATTTTAACAAGACTGGCACTGAATAGAATTCAGGGGTTGTAGAACTGTAGGGTTCCACCTGAAAATAGAAAATATGACTGGGGCTGTTGTTTGAACGATAAAAAGAAAAGAGATCTCGAGAGAGAAGTTCAAACCCTTTCTATTTCCACCCTTTTATTTTTTAACTTGAACTTTTATTGGTTTTTCTAGCAGGTAGAAAAATGGGGCAGCACATTTTACCAATGCAAATACTTATACAAGGTGAAATACATAAGATAGAATTGGCCATTTATGTTACTTTGGGAGTATGACTCAAGACTCTGGGGAAGATTGGTATTTTAACGAACAATGTCCATGATGACCTTCCACTATTGTTATTCCTCATTATAAATTGGAGAAAGATTACATGCAGCTCCCTCCATGGAGATCGTCTCGAGAAATGTTTGAAGCCACAGTCCCTCTTTCAGCCGATCTGCGTCCTTCCAGTTTGTTGCTATTAGTCTTTTAGCTGTCACGCGCCCACTTGTTACAATTAGTTTTTTTGTGTTTGGACCATGTTCCTTCGACAGCGTAGTTCGAAAGGCACATTGCTGGATCACAATGGAAAGTATAGCCAATGATCTTTCCCAAAGATTTCGTAACATTTTCTCCAGAAGGTTTTAACTTCAGTGCAATCCCATAAAATATGATAAAACTTACCTTTATCTTGTTTGAAGTGCCAACAAAGATCAGAATCGGACACACCCATCGTATGTTATTGAACAGGAGTGAAATATATTCTATGTACAAAATTGTAATTGATCATTTTATTCTTCACGCATTTAGATCCTTCCTACTTTCACTCTTGACCAACTGCTGCATGAAGTGGCCATGACCTTTGGGTCAACCCCCTTTTATTTTCTCTGTATTTGATTTCTCACTCTGTACGGTTGCACCTAGGGCTGGGCGGCTAATCAAATTTTATTTTTGATTACGACTCTGGCTTCCAACGATTATGAAAACAAGATTATCAAGATTAAACAATTATTGTGCCAAATGACCCCACTACAATAACCATCCATCGATCCACTTCAGGGTTACGTTTCGGTGTACGTTAGCAACGTACGCAGACTTTCTATAAAAACATTTTGAGAATGACTCAGTGTCTGCTTTTCTTTCACAAGATACTGATGATGGGAGTTGTATTTGGACCAATTGGACATTACCACCGAGTTCAGTAGTCGGACAGACCGTTGATCAGCATTTAATTCAAGGCCAGCCTCATCCGTACTATCCTAGAGGTAGAGATGTGACCGAGGACACTGAGACTGAGTTCACACCAGCTGATGCAGGGGCAGCAGGCACAGCCGGCTAATCTTTGGCCTCAGGAGAGAGGTTATCTCTACTATGCTGAAGCTTGAATATGTTAACGTGGCACCACATAGTCTTATTCACTTTTCTTTCAGTCACATAAGATCTGGAAAAATGTGCAGAAGGAGCTGAGCCAAGAATTGGTTGAACAAAGTTTTAAAAAAGATGCAGGTAAAAGTACAGAAGTAGCTCTTTTAAATGCTAGTCACACTGCATTAAAAAAGGCTGCATGGTGGGGGGGGGGGGCATATTGCTACTGCTACTGATGAGAAAATAAGACCTGATCCAGGAAGGACGGTTGGATCAGTGCATTTGAGGGCGAATCAGTCTGACGACAGAGGATTTTACGAATCATGCTGACAGTCGTGTTGCCAGATGGTGAGGTCAAACTGTTTTGCTGGACCATCCTTCAATTTTTCAGGACCCCCACTTTGTCAAAAGAGTTGTTTCTAATCAAAATGAATTGAGGGCGTTGTTTTATGCAGCGCTAATATTGGTTTGAAATGCACACTCGTCTTTAAAAAGCTACTGAGACACAGCTCCACACACAGGTGTTGTGTCTCTAACCCTGCTCTTTTCTTCTGTCTGTTCTGCCTGTATGCAGCAGGGAAGAGGAAGGAGAAGAGGTCAAAGATAGCGGAGGAGGGTCGCGGCAAAAGAAACGCCATTCGCCTGCATGAAGCTTACACTGTGGAGACGGTGGTGGTGGCCGACTCAGACATGGTGCAGTACCATGGTGCTGAGGCCGCACAGAGGTTCCTGCTGACTGTCATGAACATGGTAAGAATCCCAAACACAAATGGAGTCCCGTTACTCAAATGACCTATTTTTTTTTTTGTGTGTTCTTTTTAATCAAGTGTTGCACCATATTTCCTCTTTGTGTTTCCACAGACTGTGTTCTCTTGCTTAGTTGTAATGAAAGGATTGTAAAAAAAGAGGGAATTTTGTACTAACTTGAAAGATACCTCCTTGATTTGTCTAACTCAGACTGCTTTGTTTTAAGATAGACCTGAACATTTCCTTTAATCTACTAGTGTTGAGGTAATTCCCTCAGTAAAGTAATGATAGAGTTCCTGGAAAAGATGTGAAGCCCTAAAGCTGATCTGATCCAGACGATCATACACCTGGATGCTGTCAGAATCACATCAGCAGAATCACCAGGTTTCTCTTGGTCCATGGAAACATTACATCCCATATATGAAGCTAAACCAGGATACTGCTGTGCATGTAAATGCACTCACTGTTGGTGCTGGATGTTTTGCACTAGTGATGGAGATGAGCCAGAACCACATCCCTATTTTGTCACCCATGCAGCCCTCTGTAACAACAGCCTTGACCAGCCAACTGAATAAACCTGCTTAGTACTCAGCACAGCACAGGGGAGCCTTCTAGCTTTGGCTCAGGCTCTGGAGGCCAGCACAGGGGGAGAGGAGAGACATGCACAGTAGAAAGCTGGAGAGGACAGTGAAAAAGCTCTAACCTGTCTGCTTTTATATCAGCAGGGACACATTTCTTCAGGGCTGCAACTCATAATCTTTTGCATCAAGGATTAAGCTATTATTACAATAGATCAACCAATTAGTCGACAAAGTGTTGGAAAACAGTAGAGAACGGAGAGCAGGGAGTGAAATATTGAAAATGACTTATGGCATCTTTGCTTTAATTATTTGTAATGAGCTAATCATTTGCCACTCTTTTAGTTACAGTAGCTTCCAGTGTCAGAGCACTATGACTGTAATGTGGCTGTAACCATATGTTATGGCTATTTATGTGCGGACCAGTCTGAGTTTATTACCTTGGGAGTGAGTAAAACTGAAGGAGGACATTTAGACCAGTCTTCAAAGGGCTGTTTGAAGGTTAAGTCTTGGTTTTAGAGTTAGAGTTAGAATTAGGGTTAGGTAAGGATTGAGGGTTGGGGGGGAGTAGGCATTTCCAGGCTTCATTGGTGCTGTCCTGATGGTAATTCCACACCTCATTTATAACTGTTGCATATGCACAAAACAGGGCCTAAAGGAAGCGCAGGCTTGAAACTCTGACTCATGTATGGACATTTTGGAGTCAGGGGAAATTGGTGATGCAGATGGTGATGAATTGAAGCCAGATTGTAGAAATTAATACAACATATAATGATGCCTCTCACACATTAAACTAACCCGTTTCTTACAGATCCACTTTATCGTAAACTTTCAAATGAGCAGTGTTATTTGAGCATACGCTAATGAGCCATATCTATCTCGAAGGCACCTTTCAGTTGTAAAAGATTCAAGCCAACTCAAATCTAAAAGACTGTAGCTACTGACACTGACAAGCCAAATGAAATGATATGTGAGGATGACAGCAGGAATCAGAAAAGTCTGGCTTCTGTCCTTTTCACCACATTAACCAGGCTAACCGATCAAATTATCATCATCAGTTGTAGAAATCAAAGATAACGTCAAATGGAATTAATTAATTGCAGAACAGGACGTCAATAGTTTTTAATAATATCTTCTAATACTCTTCTAATACTATCACTGAGTTTTTAGTTTTCATAAAGCGTTCAAGGCGTCCACTTCCATGTTTGATCGCTTTGTTTAATTTTGGATATTGTCCTGTTTGTTTCATCAACAGACGTCAGCCCTCACACTTTGTTTTGTTTGTAACACCGCCTCCATTCAACACAGGAAGAGTATCATTGTGTGTGTTTAAGTGAACTATGAGGGCACAGTGTGCACATTTTGAAGGTGATTGTGATCCGTAAAGGGAAATTGCGTGTGCACAGTTTTATAAGTGACTGCATTTTTGCATATACGCCCTTTTTGTTTTTTGTGCACATGTACAATTTAAGTCTGGATCCTATGCACTGTGTTATAAATGAGAGACGCTCAGAGCCAGATGGAGGTTTATATGTTCCACAATGAGCAGTAGTGTTGTTGTTCCATCTCTTGCAGGTCTACAACATGTTCCACCACCAGAGTCTGGGAGTCAGAATCAACATTCGAGTCACCAAGCTGGTGTTGCTTCACAGCCGCCCAGTAAGCCCGACTTTTCACCCTCTTTGACCCCTCTTTAACTCTCTGTTGACCCTCACAACCTGACTGCCAGCAGATCCTAGACACACCCTGTGCTCATGTGCGCATTTGTGAGAGGAAGGTCATGACCCTCAGGAAAGAGATTTTCTTTTTTCCTTTAAAATGCTTTTACCTGTGGATTCCAGCGTGAAGATTTTCTGTCCATAATAAAGATTCTAAGTAATTAGCATTTAAGATTGAACGAAATTAGTTCCTCCATTTTTTATTTCATCCACGTGTAGAGTTTTATCACATGCAATGCAAAGCATCCATCCAAATGTAATTGAATACTTTGGTCCAGAAGCACGTGAAAACACCAGACAACAGGATCCAGTGATATAGGACATACACAAATGATTTTAGCATCATATAACAGTAATTCTGTGACTCGTGAACAATGTGAATTAAAAGCTAAAGGAGACATTGTGACAGAGCAGCAGGACAGGATGAAGTTCATCTGCTCTGTATCTGCTCTTCAGGAGAAGCTGAGCGTGGGTCATCATGGAGAAAGGTCTCTGGAGAGCTTCTGTCACTGGCAGTATCAGGAGTTTGGGGGCCCACGTTACCTCGGCACCAACCACGTTCCTGGTGGGAGGGATGACATCCCACCAGTGGATACAGCTGTGCTGGTCACCAGGTATGTAACTTCTTCAGATAAGTGAATGATAATGTACCATAAATGTATTAAATGTGATCTCAGCAATTGGACAGTTTATTTTGTCCTCAGTATGAAGAGGAGGGCTGCCACTTTTTCAGTCCTGTAGTCCTTTCATCTTAGTCTGTCTGCTGCAGATGCTGCTTAATGGTTCTTGCTCGTGTCCAGTGTTTTTGCTGCTCATTCTGATGATTTTGTTGAGAGGATGAAGTGGGATGTTACTCAGAGCACTAAAGCAGGCTGCCATGTTGTAGGTGATGATAGATTCAGTGAAGCACCTGTAGAAAACTGTTTGGTGGAACTGGAGCTTGTGGAGTTTCCTCAGAAAGACATTTGGAAAAGATGGTTTGAAGGTGAGTTTGTGGTCAGTTGTGGTGCCGAGGTATTTGCATGCCTCCACTCTCTCTATAGCCTGGCCATTGACCACCAGTGTAGGGATGATAAACTGTTCATGGTGAAAGTCAATGACCAGCTTCTTGGTCTTGGAGGCGTTGAGATTGAAACAATTCTCCTTACAGCACATGGAGAATATGTCCATCAGCTTGTATTTTGGTTGATTTGTTTGTTTTTTTCTATTTTTCCACGCATGAACAGAGATTCGGTGGAAGAATTATTCAGATCCATCACTTAAAGGCACAGGCATCTACATCCAAGGAAACAAAACTTGGCATTTAGTGTTCATTTGTGCAAGAAAAGTGTAACAAATGGTTGACGCTTGCAGATTTCTGCAGTGTAATGAACGATATGACAAAGACACACCTTAGTTTTCATTGACTGATTCTTCTGCAGGAGAAAGAGACACATTTCTCTGCATGTGGACAGGAAATGCAACTCTGTGATGTCACATTCTTTTGATTTTTGTGTAGTTTTTTACCCGGGGAGTCAAAGAGGGATCAAAGGAATCCTTTTGTTTAAATGAGTACTCATGTCTTCTGATTCTATCTTGTCTCCTTTTACTGTGAGGAGAGGGATAAGGGCATGGGCACTGTGGCCTTTTGTTCTTGAGGTGGTTTGTTATGAACCTGATCTGCCTTCCCGTCTCTGCTCCCCCGCCCCCACCTCTGTCATGAGGCTTCCTCTGTGAGGACAGGAGCAGTCAGGATCAGCATCTGCTGGAAGGGAAGGAGCAGGATGCTGCCAGCAGCAGTCAGGCTGAGAGTGAGGCAGCATGCAGGCAAATTAAGCACGTTGCTCTCAGGTTTCCTGCAGCGCATGGCTGCTCAGCGTCCTCTATGTGTGTGTGTGTGTGTGTGTGGCTGTATTGCTGTAATATGCCACAGTTTGTGGAAAGCCCATGTAGATGATATGCCCTCAGCACATCTCTTACATCTTATTAACATCCTCCTGGAAGGAAATAACAAGATATTTGATATTGGTGACCGTTTGATTTCATGTCACTCACATAAAACATACAGATACCAGGCTACAAGAGATCAGACCTTTGCTTTTACAACAAAAAACCTTCGACTTTGTTTGATGAAAGGTTGATATTTTAAAAAAAAACTAAACAAAAAAACGTACTTTTCAAAATGTTGTTGGAGATACCACGTCACATTTCTACACTTGCACTCTCAGAACCCTGGGAACTACTCAGTACAACCCCTGTGTGGTTGGTGTACACACATTGCCATGGTGTTGATCCCTTAATCTCACTCTTGGAAAGAAAGTGAATAAGTACATCTCCCAAAATGTTCATCTCTTCCTCTGAGTGTTCCAGCCACTTCTGTATGTGGAGGCAGATGCAAGTTGATTAGTCCATCCATCCATCCATTCATCCATTCATCCATCTATCCATCCATCCATTCATCCATTACAGTTCTTAAACTGCATGGTATAAAGACCTTATTATGACAAAGATTTCTGCTTCGTAGGTTGATTATCTGGAGCTCCATGAACTCAATGGTTCATGAAATGTATAAAAACGTGTTCCATGGAATGAAAACATGGACTACACACCTGTTTATTCGTCTAATTATTCAACCAGCCAATCATGTGGCAGCAGTTCAATGTGTAAAATCCTGCAGGAACAGGTGAGGAGCTTCAGTTTATATTCACACATTAAACATCAGAATGAGGAAAAATGTAATCTTAGTGACTTTGATTGTGACATGATTGTTGGTGTCAGATGCTGGTTTGAGCAGCTCTGTGGAGGAAAACAGCTTGTTGATGAGAGAGGTCTGGTTGAGACTAGCTGAAGCTGACAGAGCAGCTACAGTCACTCAGATAACCACTCTTTGCAACTGTGGTGAGCAGTAACACATCAGAGTGAACAACACGTCCAACCTTGAGGTGGATGGACCACAACAGCAGAAGACCAAGTCAGGTTCCACTTCCTGTCACCAAGACCAGAGACCTGAGGCTGCAGTGGATATAGACTCACCAATACTGGACAGATGAAAACTGGGCCCCTTAAACCTGGTTCATGAAAATGTGGCCTCCCGGTCCCCAGATCTGAATCCAGTAGATCACCTTTGGGTGTTCCCGCTACATTCAACTACTGTAGCAGGAACCGCCACAGAAGGGGGTTTTGAGTGCCTCCAGTGTTTGAATTGGCACACCGCATGTATTGTTGCTTTTTTTCACCGTTTTGGCCTTTTGTCCACATGAAGTCAGGATCCTTCTTCTTTTCAAAAACACTCTCCAAAGTGAATAAATGCTGCTGTGCTCTGACACAGTCACAGGTTGTATGCTCTGAAGACTGAAGCCTCCCTTTAGTTACATCTACCTTTCTTTGTTAAAACTTAAATATCAATATAATATACACACAACACAAATGTTATCATGAAGTATTAGGCTATTCTTTGTGATTATTTTGCCAGATTTCACCATAATCATTTCGATGTGATCATTGTGTCATTGCAGCAACAATGTTCACCTGGTTAACAGGTGCTGTGTATACGCTGCAAAATCAGCTATTACATTATATTTAAGTCTGTTCAGTTCAGTCTTACAATAGAAACAGAAACATTCTGTAAATGAGAAAATGGCAGCTTTTTCACTCACAGTGCTATCAGAGAGCAGGAGGGGATTGATGTTTAACCAACTGGGGCTCAGTGGAGTAACTAGACTGTCTGTCTGTGATGGCAGTTTTGTTGTTTGCTGACTCAAAGATGATGAGAGAGAGAGCAGGTTCAGATGTTTTCCTGTTGTTCAGGGTCGATCTCAGAATATGTCCTAACTGGCCACAAATTGTCTTAGCAATGCTCACGTTGTTGTTCACTGGTGACAACGATTAAAAGACTCTCCCTTGTAGAAAACTGAATAATTCTTGTGACTAACATTATGCAGGATACAAAACAGAGTCCCTAAAAAATGAAAGTCCTCTCACCCAGTGAGAGGGAAAACGCAGCTTTGCAACAGTGATGATTTGGCGCCGTCACAGCAGTAAAAAGTGAAACTCTGATCACTGTTACAGAGCTGCAGATGCTGCTGACACAGTATCCAGTTCTACTTAGCTGTTAGGCTTTGTTGAGCCGTGGGTGTCATGACAATGAATACAGGTTCAGCAATGAGTCACTGACCCTATAAGCACAGAGGTTACTGGAGGAAATGTATATAACAAACGTGGTGCAGAGTTAGCCCAGAAATTCAAATGGTAGCTGTATTTGCTGTAATCAGACAAACACCTTTATCAACATTTACTTCTGTTTCACTTTTTAAACTTGTCTTCTCTGATTAAATTAATGTTCCTCAGCCAGCTGACATGTGACCACACTGAAAAATTAGGTTTTATTCCAGTTATGAAGAGCCAGAATAAAGAGTAATGGATGAATTTTGCCAGCACCTGTTATCCACAGTTAGTAGCTTGCACTGATGGCCTTTCCTTTAACCTGTTGACTGTCTTTATGGCCATCTGAAGACCTCTCTATCTGCTAATAATTCTCTCAGGAGTTTCCACCAACCCTCTCCTGATGTCTCCATCCAAACGCACCATTTTTGCAGGCAACAACTGCTTGTGCCATCTTTATTTCAATGGGTCTGGCCAAGGCAGAATGTAGAGATAAAGTAGAATCATGCTGTTCGTACAGCTCAAACTAGCAGTGTTATTTTACAAAATTCTTAAAGTTCTTAAACAGCAAATCTCCACAACCACAAGTGTAGGAAAACACTCCCCAGGAGTCTCAAACTGTCAGTGTATCATGGTGGGGAAACCAGTGGGGATTGTTGCTGTCTGTGCATGAAAATAAATATAATAAATATAAATGAATTTTTTTAGCAGCTTTGCCAGCACCTCCTAAAAATGTCATCAGCTGCTGTTAACTGCTGACATATTTTTTTCTTAACTTTTATCACGTGTATTTGGTTCACACTAGCTGTAGGAACAGCAGCATACTTTTTCCTTTTTAACACTGACTGGCACATTTGTATAAACTAGCAGCACCAGGCAATATGTGATAGCTGATCAATTTGCGATATGCATTTTAATTCTGTCTCTACTTGTTCATTTATTTAAGAAATTGTTCCCACTCATTATAATGTGTGTTTTTCTGTGTGTGGGATCATGTATCAGCTCAGACTCGTTATCACTGAAGCTCCTGTTTGAACTCAGTCCAACCTTCTACACCAGCTGTCTGGAGTGTTTGTGAGAGGAAGCGTCCTCCACAGTGATCCCTTTATGTCCTGCTTCAAAACTTTGCATCCTCCTGAGAAGGCAAACAGCTCCGTGTCACCATGTCCTCTTAATGCTGACTGAAACCTCACGGCAGGCTCTCACTGCTCCTCACAGCTCACAGCTCCATTACGGGGCCTGCAGGCTTCGTTCATTGTGTAATTCTGTCCTGTTACTGAACATCAACGATTATTACGGAAGTGGTGAAAGTCCGGTTGATTAGTCAAGGTCCAACAAGTAATTGTCACTTGACCAAGTCATGGCATGAATTAATGACTCTATGATCACCTAATCTGAGACAGTGATCAACTGGAAAAGCAAAAATAGTTTTGAAGTCTGATTCCAGCATAAACAGCTGTTCATGTGCAATGTGTTGATCGTGTTCTGCTTTAATGAAAGACTGTAGGATAGTGGTTAGAAAAGGGTTGATGCCTTTTCCATGTATGCATCTTTGTGACTGGAACTTGCTAAAGCAGCTTGTCCAAAGGTTTTTTTTCCTCAGGAGCCCTACCTGCATTATTTTGGGCCTTTTTCTCCCAGATTTGAAACACAGTTGAAACAGTGGTTATTGTTCTCCCTCTGTTGACCTGGAGAGGATGTAGACTAGCTCTAGACACAAAGTCATGGGATTGACAAAAATTATGAGACCAGGTGAAAAAGACAAGAAATAACTGCAGTTTCGACAAGACAGTTTTGCTAGTTCATCGTTTGCATCATTAGATATTTATATATTTTCAGAATTGAGTGTGTGGACCACCTCTTTACCTCCTTACTGGCCCCTTTACAACCACCATTGCCAGGTCATGGCCAGGTTCCGGTCCTTCCAAAAACCTATAACAATTAACTCAATACTCAAAATTTACACAGCATCACATTTTATCAATCACACACATGTTGACAACCAGGTCTTGTTGAGGTCTGGTTCCCAGAGGCCGACCTGCAGCTGTTCACACCTAGCTGAGGACTCCCACATGTCAGTGGGAGCCTCTCCTCCTCCACTGTTGTAGCTGTGGTGCTAGCAAACTCAGCATTGCCCATGGTCGTAAAAACCTGTGGCTTTAAATGTTTATGACTCCAGAGTTTTCCCTCCACACCTGGCCTATCATCTGGCAAGGGAGTGGTGTAGTTGGAGTATTTTGATAAGCATGGCCGGTTACGCTTAATCACAACAGATTAAAGCTGCAAAGTACTGTGTGTTACCTTTAAGGCCACACATGAAAAAACGCAGGATTGTCTGTCACAAAAGTTGAACCAGGTTCAACGCATTGTCACATTACGTTGATTAACTGTGGAACTGCAGATTGAACAGGGCCGGATTCAGAATGCTACATAGCCCTCACAATTGCTGCAATGGCTGGTGTGTAGGGAAGGTGGCATTTAACAGAGGCATTGTCCTTTGACATATTATTCTTGGAAATAAATGTGTCCCTGGCTTATCCCTGTCTTTGAAGAGATCAAGGGCTTGGTGCCATGACCAAATCAGTGAAATGAGAGCTTGGAGCTAACTTACATACTTTCTTACATCTACTTACGTCACTATATGCATGTGTTTCCAGGTGCAGGTATGAGAACAGTATCAATTAACCCTGTGATGTCTTTTTGTACCCCATTTACACCATATATGCCAAGGGCAGAACCCTGGCAATATAAAACACTTCTTTGTTGTGACAATGTTGAAGTCCACTTTTAACTATATCTGAATATTGCTTAAATATGAACATTCTTTGTGCAGAAAAATGTGAAGCAGAAACAAATCTAAACTAACAATATTTTCATATGTAGGGTCACTTAAATAAAAGTCTTCAAATTTAAGGCTAAAGGCTATCAAATGTCACAACGGATTAAACTGGTTGTAAGTATATATATATATATATATATATGTATATGATAATCAAATGTCAGCATTCTAGAAAATCTCAGTTGTCTGCTACTGTGCTGAAAGGAAGGACTGACATTATTGTATCACCTCTGGTTTGCATTTTTGAATTAGTATTAGTAGCAACCTCCATTTCGGGGGTGAAGTGTTCCTTGAAAGCATCTTAGCTAGTGAGTTTTACTATTTCCCATCAGGGACCAGAACTTCAAATGAAGGTCGTGAACTCTCTACAGAAGTCTGGACTGGGCTGAATTAAGTTCTACAGCAACTTGTGAAACCAGTGATGTGTTCATACTTATATTTCTAATCCCTTATTACATTAAATGACATTAAAGAAGCTATTTGTAAGTTTTGCTATTGCTACATAGCTAACATTAGCATTAACAGCTGTTTACCTACAAGTCTGGGAGACACATGAGTTCAGCATCAAACTTAATTCCTTTACTCACCAACAGCTATCTCCATAGGTGGAAGCAATCACCAATGTTGACTCTTGTATCATCATCATCTTTTCTTGCTAACTAGCTAGCCCCGGCACCGTCTCTTCACTTTCCGATAGCGACTCACTGTAGCCTCCAATCTGCCTTGAAGATGTAGCACAACTACGAAGCTCTTGTCAAGCAACAGTCACCACCACCCGCTTTCAGCAGGGAATTATGTTTAGCGATTTGTAGCCCCTTTAAAACTGTAGGCCACAGGACTAATTTAACCTTATTTCCCAACAGTACCTTCAAGAAACCTGCACTTATGGGTCCTCCATGGTTACTTTAACCCCCCAAAATATCTGGAGAACGATGAAAGTTCCTGTAACGACGTAACTAAGACCAACATCTTTTACCCAATAGGAAGACTGTACATGTCAAGAAAACTTTCCTGGGGAATTTTACCTTATAAATGTATGAATGTTCCTTTACCATTGGTTTTGGTCTTCACCTGAAGAGTCAAGGATAACCTTGCTCTGAAGTGTGATTCAGTCAGCCTGGGGCAAGAAGTGGGAGTCTCCCATAATCAAAATTTTAACTGGGAGCCCAAAGCTAATGGGACTGTAGAGTTGAGAGCTAAGAAAGTAAGCAGGGTTTGAACTTCTCTCTTTTGGGTCTCGTTTTTCCATTCTTCACACAACCACCTCTGACACTGTTAGTGTTTACAACTGTAAATATGTTTAAAACACCATGAATGTTTTCCAGGAGAGACTGTTGGACATTTTTTTGCTGTTGTACCCATATTTCGAAACGATTATTGCGTCTCGCCCCTCTCTATGACAGCTGGCTTTTCACCACACCTTCCAGTGTGGTCGTTCAGAATAGCTATAAACACTATTTTTCCATTCAATATAGTTGGTTACCTGGTTGTTTTTCAGCATAACCCTTGCCCGAGAGTCTTGTCTGTGTGGGTGGATTCTACATGAATGGTTGTCTAATTTTCAATAGATCAGTAAAATAAACTCTACCTTTTTTCCTTTTCAGGACAGATTTCTGCGTTCATAAAGACGAACCCTGTGATACTGTGGGTGAGTACAATTATGTATCACGCTCTCTAACACACACACACACACACACACACACACACACACACACACACACTCACTTTCTCACTTTCCCATTCACTTTAATGGAAAAGTGGTTTCAGACTTTTGGGCACTACTGTAGATGCAGGTCTGATCTGCAGTTGATGGAAGTGCTTGTTTTGTGGCTGGTATTGTATTGAACTTGTGAGTCTGTGTTTGTGTCATCATGGTAAAATGTCTTCCTGGAGACACCTACCACAGCAGGAAGTACCACAGAGGTGGTTTTGAGTAGTTTGGCAGGTTGATATGTCTCTTGTCTGTCTATGGACAGATCTTTGTCGGTGCAATAATGTCACAGCCTGCAAGATACATTCACAAGACATAGCAGGTGTGTAGCTGAGATAAAGATGAAGGCTGAGCTCTAGAATGGGTGGGGTCCAACCCATGAAAACTGAATACTCATGTCATAAACTCATGGGTCAGAATGTCAACATGCTGATGGGTATCATGGCTGGTGTGGTCCCATTGCAAGATGGTCTTTAGATTGAGGTTATAGCTATTTAAACTTGGTTTAATCATCCACCCTAGTTTTGTGTCTGCATATTAATGTTGCACTACATCCACCTTCGCTGCTGCCATGCAAGAGTTATCACACAGCAGCTAGATTCAAACTGTTTAACCTTAAGCCAGCACATATTTTCAGACAGTCTCTCCTGGAAGTCCTCCATAGTGTTGCACTTGGTTGTTCGCACAAAGACTGTCAGACACAGCAGCTTTGTAACCTCCACACTGTGTTAGCAGCGTTATCTAACACTTGGCATCCATGTGAAGGCTGGCCTTTTTATTTATTTCCCTTTTGTTTTGTTTTTTTGTTTTTTCCCCACCGAGGCGTCTTGTATTTATTCCATGGTGACACTTGATTGTCAATCAACCTCTTGGGGCAGGATCAACAATTCTAATCTGTCATTTGTCACAGAAACAAACAAAATGAGAAAATGATCTATCTATATTAGTATGTGTTCACTGCATACTCAGCTTGCAGTAACTGAGACCTGACTCAAGACTCAAGTAGGACAGGCTCCACATTATAGTCAGTCTAACTGGGTCCAGGTTCTCTTGTCACAAATATGTAGTCTGCATGTTAATAAGTTACTATCAGCTGATAATGTGGTGCATTGGAATCATTGCTGAGGGGAAATATGTTTTTTCCGTCGTACCTCTGACCACAGCAATTTTCATTGAGGTCAGAAGTGAGCTTGTACCTGTAAACCACATTCAGCAGTGAGGTCCTGAAGTGCACCTGTGCATCACAACAATGCAGTAACATCGCAGGGTGTTGCAAAAGCTGTGTTGTGTTGCAAGGTTCAACACTTTTGCTGGATAACCCTGAATTTATTTGCCAGAGCTCGGCTCTGCACCTCTGTGCTGTCAACACAGTGGCCTTATTGAAATGAATGGACTGCAATAAGTCTGAACGTAGCCTCCCATTGAACAAATATGCAAAAGTTAATTGGCGACATATTTCATGATGAGGCAACTTAAAGCAGTTGTTGGTTCAGGAAAGATTGTGACTTGAAGAACATAACGGGACATGATGACATTTTCAGAGTTCAATCAAAACCATCAACACAAATCAAGTATTTCAGTATCATATACCCAACAATGCGTTGGATGCGGGATGTGAACTCTGCTCTCTGTTGTCCTAAACTTTGAGTTTCAAACCATCCACAACCTGTTTAGTAACATCACTTTTCCTGGATTGGAAACAAATGTACCAGTGAATGTGATCCAGGCAGCAATTATGTTTCTTCTAAAAGGTACGTGGCGAAAGAAATTAGTAGCATGTAAACATTCTTTATAGGAGCCAGGGTTGCTGGAGAATGGTCGACTCTGTGCAGTCCTGTTCCTTTTCCTACATGGATTTCTTCTGCGTCTGTGAACCTCTCTGTTTCAGTATTATGTAATGTTGGACCACTTCCATTCACAGTTGTGATTTATGCCCTTGGAAGTCAAAGAATTGGCCTCAGGCCATAAAAGCCAAAGCAGTTTTCTTTTGTGCTTGTTTCCCTATTTGACCATATGAGCTCAGAGCGTTTATTCTTTTTTTGGCTCAGAGTATTTAGTTTAACAAAGGGCACAAACTTTCCTCGCAGTGTAGATGATGTTGAGACAGAATGAAAGTAGTAAAGAATTCAGAAAATCAGAGGAATAGTGCAAAGACTTTATCCGAGTCAGACAGTGTAATATACTGCCACCTGAGTTCCTCAAAGAGCAGGAAAGCCTTAGAAGTTTTGTCACAGGGAAGCCTTGTCATATAAAATACACCTTTGATCAGAGTCCAGTAAATCTACTGATTTTCATACGAGGAGGAATTCCCCTTTTCAAATAGGAAGTGTGAATGTTTCCACACTCACAGTGTCTAAAGCTGAAATTAAGAGAGGGCCCCCTGACACTTTTAATCTCTTTTTATGAGGAGCAGCTCTGTGTATGTGTGTGCGTGCATGCATGTGTATGCACTAGTTGAAGTGTTTGAGTATGTTGCAAGTGTGACTGGCTGTCTGGTTTCCTGTCTGCCCTCATAGTTTCAGTTGCTGCTCTGTTGCCAGGAGTCATCAAGCTTCATATCACGTTCAAAGGAATTTAGAATTTGCATGTGGGGTATTTATTGTAAATAAAGATTTCTTGATGGAAGGTTGTGTGGCTCTAGGTTTGGGTATTTTGGGATATTTATATATACTTAAATTGTGTTTTTTCATGTGACAACATGTGGTATAGCCACACACATTCTCATCATAGTTTAGTGTAATGGCAGATAAAGCTGCCTCCCTGTTCAATTAAAGAGCCATCTCACAGTGGATAAGGGTCAGGTGGAAGAAGCATTAGGATGAGAAAATGAGCAGGGATCTCTCTTCCAGGATGGTCTGAATAGAGCACCATAGAAAAATATACCTGTATGAAGAGTATCACCTGGGAGGGCGTCAAGCAACAACCAGGTGCCGTCAAACAGACCATGTCTCTTAAATCATCAATTAAAATCTCCCCTCCCTCCTGTTGGTGCCCATGTCAGGGTGGAACAGTGCACAACTTTATCATTTTTGATTCCTCAGTATAAGGAGTTTGGTGAGAAACTGGACCCAACTTTGAACTGAGAAGTCTAATCAGCAAAAACAAGTGCTACTTTGGGCATTGCACCATGGATGGATTCTGAGACAATCTTGCCATGTCCCAGCAGAGTGACATGAGGCACTGAAATACGTGAGGATCAAAAGCACGTCTCCTGGGAATGGTTGTTGTTTTGATGAAACTTTCGGCGGCTGCTCATGTCTCTAGAGCAGCAGTGTCCACCTGTGGGCCACAGCAGGTATTGTAAGTGAGCCAACAAATCATTTGAAAAATAGTTCAAATTTGTTTTTTATGGGATGATTTTTGCCTTTATTAAAGCCGCAAGACAGGTTGGGGAGAGAGAGAGGAGGGAAGACATGCGGCAAAGGACTCGAACCCAGGCCGTTGCGGTTAGGACTAAGCCTAAATGCTACGTGGACTACCACGGGAGCCACAGAGGCGAGGTATTAAGGCCTATCACTGTGATAAGTCAATGATCTGATCCGTCATTGAATTGAATGGCTCCCCAGAAACAGCACCTGTACTTTGGGAGACAGCAAAAGCAGTTCTCAGAGGGCTCACCATCTCATATTCTACAGAGAGGAAAAAGAATGAACAATAGATGCAACAAGACACACACATGCAATAAGATATGCAACAAAACAAAGAAAATGCACCAATTATAGTAATCAAAGATCCACATGAAAATATAATTTATGGCCCAATAGACATAAACTGTATCTTACCATGATTTTTTAAGGGAATTCCATCATTCTGATAATGAATACCACACCTCAGTTATCCACCAATCTCCTGACTATATTGAACTTCCTACACTATCCACTCACACATGACCAACACATAACCCAACAAGGACTCCAGAAAGCTCTCGTCTCACGCCTGACAATAAATCACCTGGTTCAGATCTCGTACACTTCTACAAACGGTTTTGGCAACTCACATCTTCAGAATGGTTAGCATAATTAAAACACCAGGAAATATACCACCACACATGAATACCGCTTTCATTTCATTTGACATACAGTAATTTGTTTAAGGAAAGATCTTGGTTTGGGTTAAAATTACAATTTTTTTATTGTGAGGAGACCATTGTCGTTATAATTTCAGTAATAACTACTTGGTTAAAGGAGGTGTTTGTAAGTTTTGCTATTGCTACATAGCTAACATTAACGTTAACGGCTGTTTACTTACCAGTCTAGAAGAAAGGTTGAGAGTTCAGCATCAAACTTCTTTCCTTCACTCACCAACAGCTGTCTCCAGACGTGGAAACAAACACCAATGTTAATTCTTGTCTATCTTGTCTTTTCTTCCACTGAAGTTAGCATGCTAACCAGCTAGCCCTGGCCCGTCTTGTCACATTCTGATAGCGACTCACTGTAGCTTTCCAGTCTGCCCTGAAGATGTAGTGCTGCTCAGAGGACGTATTATAACGTCTTGTCTTGTAAACACAACGATGGCTGAAGCTGGTGTCAAGCGACAATCACCACCACCTGCAAGAGCCATGTTTGGTGGTCAAATAGCGCCTTTAAGGTGAGGAATGATAATGGTAAAAAAAAAAAAAAAAACGATAAAGTTTGTGACTGATGGACAAGACTCATTCCCACAGCCACTTGAGATCTTTGTCACCCTCATGTATCATGTAACTACATCCTACAAAAATGACCGTACAGTTGGATGAACACCTCTCTAAAACAGTTTCCCCAAAAACTGAACATTATAACCTTCACAAAGGTAGGGCTTATTGCAGGACTGTTGTATTAGTTTCAGCTGGGTCTACCTAATAAACTGGCACTGAGTGTATATGTTTTGGGGCTATGGGACAAAAACATAGCTTTAAAAAGGTAAAATGGAATTGTTCAGAGGTTCTTTTTCATTTGGAG